AGATAGATAGATAGATAGATAGATAGATAGATAGATAGATATTCACATTAATAAGAAGAATAATAGAATAATGAAAACGCTGAAACCCACCTCCAATCAGTAGGTACTTCTCAAAGCCCCAATCATTGCCTTATATTCGCTGCAGCTCTTTCCGTCTTTGCAAACGGCACAATTATAAAAGCCAGAGCTCAAACCCTCCTTTTTTCCCCTCCTCGCTGCGATCAGCTCTCCCCCTTCCTTCCCTCTCTCTTTGAGGAATGACACTCATGCCAACAGCGGGTACCCATGCCATCTGCCGCTGACGTCTTGTGGCAGCCGAGACCACGTGTTCATCGTCCCATGGGACCCTCCACTCTGCGCCGATCATCTGGCAGCTCCGGTAAAAAGGCACCGGGAGGCCCACGTTTACCGTCAAAAACACAGACCAGAGAGGGATAACAACTAATACCTGTGTCTCACCCGTTGTAAGAAAGAAGAACTGCTTCATGCACTAAAGTCTGCAAGTAGACAGATAAATATGAAATAGATATATTTAGTTTTAGAAGCCTTCTGCTGATTGTGACTGAATACAAAATCATGTTCTTTGGACAGACAAGATAAAGGAAAAAGTTGATAAATGTATTTACCATATAAAATTTCTCAAGTCACCCCAAATAAATTAATTTAGAAATTGCACAAAAAAAAATCATGCAACATCTTCTTGCATTTACTAATCATATTTGGTTACTTTAACACGACAGTTTTACACAATTGTCCTACCCTGGTAACATGAAACAATTGTGTCAAAGTAACTAAATATGATTAAGTAAATGCCAAAAACGATTGCATTTTTTTTTCAGTGTACATCCCAAGTAAAAGGAACACAAAGTTCTTTCTTAGAGTTAGCTAGAGACATTTCCATGGAAGAAATTTCTCTAGAGTGCTAGATAAAAGTGGGCCCCCGATAGGCGTCTGATATAATGATAAAACAACTATACAGCTTGGCATGGCCATTTGTTTAAAAAAAAAAAATTACATTGTGTTTATACTGTTAGGTTTGGTGAAGGATCTGTGCAATAAGAAGCTGTTTCTCTAAACTTAGTTTGAGGGAATGGCATCATAAACTCTGAAATAATCTACTGTATTAGGACATTGTGATTTATAATCTGTTTGAGACTAAAACGTACACCAGACATGATTTAGTGTTCTATTCTAGCAGTTACATCTAGAGGCGTAGCCGGAAAATTTTTGTAAGGGTGGCCAGACAATAACTGATGTACACTGAGGGGTGGCCGAAAGCGGATAGGCACCAGAACCTCAGGGTCAATCCACTCTGTTCCAACAGGAAAATTAACAAGTAAAATATCCATATTTTCTAAATAAAGACAAACTTTACTTTCCAGCCTTTGCTAACAAATAGACGCATATATTTAAACATCCATTATTTCTAGATAAAAGGTATAGTGGATAAAACTCTGTCAGTTTTGATTTCTGATTTCTGTACGTATCATATTTGATGTCAGTATATTGATGTGTAAAATTAACCACAGAAATTAAAATGTTTTGAATATTCCACTTGAGAGTATTACTGCTGCCACCATCTGTATTAGAGGGAAAAAATGGTGGGGGTGGCCACAAGGGTGGCCAATGATTGGCTAAGGGTGGCTATGGCCACCCCTGGCCCCTCATCTAGCTCCACCCCTGCTTACATATCATTGTAATGGCCAGACATTCTGTGGTTGTCTGCAACTGTGGCTGTGTCTGACCAGTTTTCTGTTCTATTCTGAATGGACGGATGCAGCAATTTGAGCTGCATGTCCTTAGTCAGGCAAGACAAGTATAACACAAGTATAACCTGTCGGCTCTGTGGAAAACATGAAGTATTTTCTGAATGGCGAGGTAAACCAACCAGGATTATCCTCATATAGGTTTATCTGGAAGCACACAATACACATTTTGTGTATATATCAAACAGGTAAGACTTGGGCACACATAAACAATATAACATTTGAAAATACAATGCACTTACCTACATTAGGATTCCTGTACTCCTGGAGGAAGAAGATAAAGAGAAATCTTCTTTGAGCTCGTTAGTGAAGCATTAATGCAACCATTCTGTCTGTGTGTCTGCCTGTGTGTGTGTGTGTGTGTGTGGATTTCTGTCTGTCTGTCTGTCTACACCTTGATTCTGTCTACAACTGATTCAACCTTCACAAATACCTCTCACAAAAAGGTAGTTTGGCCTAATATCTTCCACTCACTAACAGGTGAGATAAAGAAACACTATGTATTTATCACTTTAATGTTCACTAGCCATAATGTTATATCATTTTAATGTATCTTCAACAAGAGGAAGTTCTAATGTTTATTTTTCTATTTCTTTTCCCACAAAAGGAATGTTTGTTCTCGGTGGTGTGGTCCGCACACAACCAACATAAGAGTAGAATCTTAACAGACCCGTATATATCAATCTTCCAATAACTTGTGCAAATCAAAGGGTACAAAGATGTGACACAAAGATATTCTGTGGAAAGCAGATGTTTTTTATTATTATTTTTTTTAAATTCCCTTCACTTTCAGCTCTATGCTTAAATGATAAAGAAACTCTACAGTAGACCTTAAAGCACAGAGTATTGGTAACATAACAGAAGAGTTGACATAGTGTTGATTCCATACCATCATAGCCATTAAGCATACCCAGTGGAAAAAGGCACTATGGCATGCTGCCAAATATACGCTGGGGCACAGCTGGCACTTGATATGGGTATATGCACTCCTCAGTTATGTGGAACACTCACACACAATTGCATGCTGAAATGTGTGCCTGTGAACGACCTTGCAGCAAGGAGAATCAATTAAACCAACTTATCAGTCTTTCTTGTATCGGTTATTGCACTGCATCGATTGGAGGTATGAGTCAGGCTGCAGAGAGTTGACCAGTTTTAGTTCAGGGCACTTTCAACTCTGACAATAAGGGCATGCAGACAATGGGTTAAATGTTGCAATGTTTTCTTGAATGCGTTCTTGTTGACAATTATAAATACAGAAGAATTGTGTGATAGTCCCTAAAACTACAAACCCAACAAAAATGCCAAAAAGTGTCCTTTTCATTCTTGCCTCTGCCCTCAAAATGTTTCAGCTGAATTGCTGATTGTTCTGGTCCACTACTCACACCCCACCATATACACACACCCACAGATACATGCTATAGAGTCAAACTCCCCATCTCAGACTAATCAGTTGACTGCACTAATTGCAAATGCAAATATGCAAATTTATATTAATTAATTACTCCACTAATTAGTTCTCTTGTCTTCTCAGGTAATAAATCATGGTGTGGTTGAGAGAGGAAGAGAGAAAGAGACAGGACTGTGATCTTTTGTCTGCTAAAATCCTTGTCTCATCTCGGAATCTGATCCTGTGATGCTTTACGGACAGATTTTATCAAACTGTCATCCACAGAGACTTCTTCACTTAACTTTCTTTTTTTTTTATCACACCTCAAGCTTGCTTAATGATTGCATTTGATATTTCACATGTACTTTATAATTCAAGGGTGGAAGCATTGTAATTTGAGAGGTATAACAAATAGCAGAGGTTGGTAAATCAGAGAGTCTGGCTGACAGTTCTTGCCTGTCAGCTCTTTTAATTATCACATTATCAGCTTTTATAGGCACAGTGCGCGGTGCAGAGCTGCAAATGAAGGCGCCACACATTGCAAGCTGAGTCGAAAGCATTTCTCAATTGATGTCAGCAGTTAGAAGGGATCTGTGTCTGGATGATGAGCGAGAGGTGATGTGGTTAAAAGGATGGTTATGGTGTGGTTATACAACAGGATTCTGTCCAACGTTTAATTTAGAGTCACAGCTCGTGGGTTAGTTATCTTTCAGTACCAATATACGAAGCAACTCCAGCTAACACCGACTCTATAATGAGCCCTGTAATGTTAATTTTCAGTCTCTCAATGACAACTCTTGCTATTTATATTACATCCCCATGAACTGAGCTTCATGTACAATTAACTAAATGCCAAACACAAAGGCTAAATGAGGAAGTGCCTACGCTGTGCCACATACAAGTGCAAGTCATTTATTATGAGTACTTGTGGATACCCAGATGAATACTTGACTTGCTGATAATAATCTTGTCATGCCATAAAGCTGTTTAAAAAAAGACTTGTTTTTCAAAGAGTAACCAAAAAAACAGCATTAAAAACAGAATCAAGCATAAGTACTTTTTTAGGTGGTAATGTTTATAAGTTCACAATAAACGTCAGTCATCACTGCTAGAAACCACCATCCATCCATCCATCCATCCATCCATCCATCCATCCATCCATCCATCCATCCATCCATCCATCCATCCATCC